ATGGCCCAGCCTGTCACGCTGTGGTTGGGAGACTAAGCCCATTTGGGCCCATTGCATTGTTATTTTATTTATTTAGCCTATTTGGGCCTGCTCATTGTTATTTTATTATTTATGTTAAACAATTTGGGCCGAGCCCATTAGTGGGATGTTTTAGAGTTTACTATTTATATGCTCTCTTGTCATTGTGAGAGTTAGTTTTTTGATGATTAATGAAAATTTACAGATTTTGCATATCTCCAATCCCCTTTCTTCTTCTTCTTTGCTTTCTCTTCTCAACTTCTCCTCTAAAAGCTTCTTTCTTTTCCCAGCTTTAATTCTTTTGTTTATTGTTCCGCATCATGGGGTGGGGTTCACAATGACACCAACATTATCTTCAAAAAACATGAAAACACCGTCCTGTCGGCACCAAGGCTTACGTTGCCTAACAATGACAGCAGGCATGACCTTCTTCCTGAGATCAGGCTTTCCCTTTTTAACAGTGACCATTAACATATCACCAACACAAGCAAAAAACAAGTGGTTCAAGCGACCCTTAATTCCCTTCACATATATGATGTAAAGGTTATATAGAGAGAATATTAAGTTTTTTAATAATTTGTTTTTAACCTGGGTTACAACCCACCTTATCCTCCTATACTCCGCCCTTGCTCATATCCAAACTTGATATATGAACTCTAAGTAAGCCGTTCACCTCTTTATATTGGACGAGCAAAGATTTGATAGGGTACGGATTTACCTCTTTTCTTTTTTCCGATAATTTTGTGGAATGCTCATCGTTACTAAATGCTCTCAAGCAGGACACCACGCGGTTTTAGCAAACACATGCTTAGTATAAGCGCACTACTATGAAAATAGAAAAGAAGCGAGAGACAAGAAGCCACGGACGGTGCCGGGCCTCATTCTGGTGGGCACCGGGTGGCGATTTATTTAGCTGATAAAAGTGTTGCTGACCGGTGAATTGTTGTGGGCAGAATGCGCACCGCTAGGTGCTCAGCAACAGCATACAAGAAGCCATGCATTTTCTCCTGTAAAAAATGCTGCACAAACTACTGTAGTAGGCCCAGTCTGGAAGACCAGGAGAGGAAGACCCAAATGCCCTTCAAAATTCATGTTTCTACTTGATCTTTTCCTCCCTGCTACCTCATTTGTTAATCCCAGCACTCGATGTAACCACTCAGCTACTCATTTTCCTTTATATCATGAAACTCATGCGCATGAATGCTAAATTGTTAGTTTCAGAGTGATGCAACGTGCACACACCAATCCAAGATCAGTTTGAACTTCGAAGCTGTTTTTCTGTGCAAAAATCCAATATCATCAATCTCAAGAATCTCCAGTTTTCAACAATCTATATATATATATATATATATTGAGACACATAAGACAGCGGTCAAGAGAAATGAGAAGCACCATGTAACATATCATTCTACTAGCAAAGGCCTAACATATTTGATTTTAATAGCCACACGTGGCCGTGTGGCTCTAAAACATGTTTTATTAGTCAATATAAGTATATTTATATAAAAAAAATTTCAAGTCTTCAACTAATATGAAATATTATAATTTATCACTTTAAAATACCCGACAATCCTATGAGTCGAGTTTTAATATCAAATGCAACATTTCATCACATTACTAAAATATTGATTTTTTAACTCACAAAGCCTTACAAATTTATTTTTAACAACTATACTTACTCCAAAACATGTCTTATTAGTCTAGAAAAGCATGCTCATAAAACTCTTTACTAGATCTTTATCAGTCGGTGTGGAATATTGCACACTAAAACTCCTACATCGTCTAAGCTGAAATGTAATGTATAAATGTATTATTATTTGTCAAGATTATATTTTTTATTTACTCCGAGGACAAATTGAAATTTATCTTAAGAAAACATATACTCAAATGACATGTACAAGTGTTACAGTCCGTGTTGCTTAAAATACCCTATTATGGAAATAAAGATCTCATTGCTTAAAATACGCTATTATGGAAATAAAGATCTCAAACCACCATGTTTTGGAAAATAATCTTGGAAGATTTGATGCAAGATCCATTTTTTTCTAAGAAAGAAAATTCTATCTCGTTGATTCCAAAATCTGTAGTTAAATATTAAGTGGAGAACTACCCAGCTACCCCAGATTTAATTCCTTTTTTTCTTCGATTCCTGCATTAAGCGGTAATTAAAGCGAGCACCACCCCTTCATCTATATAATACCATCTTTTGGATCGGATAAGTCACAACTCACAGGCAATATTCAAGATCAACCCTAGCTTCGAGCAGTCAGTGGCATATACACCTAATTGTGAAAGAAATGGCAAACACTCCTACTCTTAGGCGTCATGAATTGGCCTTGGCAATGTTGTTGATCGTTGGAATGCATATTCTGGGCAACCAAAAGGTGGCAGCCTCATGCAAAGATACTATTACTTCTCTCGTATCCAAATGCTCCCCATTCGTTCGAATTCCAGGCCCAAGAGTCCTGCCCTCTGACGCTTGTTGTCAAGCGGCGAAACAAGTCACAGTAGGAGACATTCCTTGTGTGTGCAAGCTTGTTACCCCAGCTTTGCAAAAGGTGATTAGCATGGACAAGGCGGTCTTTGTTGCACGAACTTGTGGCCTCACTATCCCCCCAGGAACTGTATGTGGAAGTAAGTCTATCTATTACTGTCTAGATTTCACAGTTTTAATTAATTTTACATAATTGTTCTTGTATTGTCATCGAGTTAATACATTTTTTTTTTTTGCAGGTTACACCGTTCCTCCTAATTTTGTTTGAGACAATTGAGTATAAGAGAGGATAGCTCTGTGTGGTATATGAAATCGAATTAATAAACACACAACTGCATATATATGCATGGCAGTGTAATCTTTTTTGATGTATGTCAAAAGGGTTTGCTACTTTGCTTTATCTGATGATTATAAAAAGAAATAATAAAAATAAAAATTTCACATGAAAGATTGGGATTTCAAAATTCTTAGCATTCCAAACTACTGATTTTATTTTCGTTCCAATTTCTACCACCCCACATGAGTGGTAATAAATACAATTGCGAAGCATTAACATGCTGTTTTTTTAATTGAGTGATTGTCTCTAATAGTTAAAATAATAGAAATCCAGATGGGATGGTTTGATTAACCATGATGCGAGCCAATCGATGGAACACTTTTTTTTAAAAAAAAAATATCATTTTATGAATCACTAGTTTTGTGGTCCAGTACTATGCCGAGATCCAGAATTTTATGGGTAAAAAATAATATTTAGAGACTGCAAGCTTGTTTTAATGAAAAAAACAAATTTATAATTTAAATTATAGACCCGATTAAAATAAATAAACTGCTTTCATTTAAATTAAATAATAAAAAAATTGACAACAAAAACAAATAGACCAAAAAAAATATTCATGATAACTTGAAAAAAATACCTTTTTTTCAAAAAAGAAAAAATAATGTAGCTCAATTCTCGACCAATTAAATATAGAAAAGAAAAATTAAATAAAATAATAAATGAACAAAAAGCAAATAAAAAAAATCACAAAATCAAACTAAATATTAAAGAATAAAATAAAAAAAATAAAAAAGACCTACAGAAAAATCAAAACTAGGTAAGATGACCAAACCTTGCAACCCAAATTATACTAATGGGATAACCTAGTAAAAGTCAAAACAATAAAAATGAGGAAGATTAATTTAAAAAACAACCAAATTTTAAAGTAAAAAACTGAAAAATATTAAAATTAAAAAAAAAACTAAGCCTATAAAAAAAGTTGAGTCAACTTGGGCTAGCTTTCCAAAGCTGTAGTCAATCATCAGATTAGGATAACACAATATATATAAAAGAAAATGAAGAAAATCATAAAAAAATTTAAAAAATAATTTTGAATAATGAAATAAAAAAAAATAAGCAAAAAAAATAGTGCTAATTTTTTAACTTCCAAGTTATTATACCGGAAGCACCTTATTTAAACAAATCACGAAGTCCAGTTCTCAACCAATTAAATATTAAAGGATAAAATTGAAAAACAAAATATATTATATAAAATGATTCAAAATAAAAATAGTAATTAAAAGAATGAAGATCAAAATTAAAATAGAAATAAATGACAAAAAAATTGATTAAAGGTTGAAATTGAAAAAAAAATCAATTTAACAAAAGAAAAAAAGGACCAAATTGGAAAAGATAACATATCATAAATTGAGATTAAGGGATGAAACTGAAAATAAATTAAGATTTTACAAAAGAATCAAGAACAAAATTTAAAAAAAAAAATCAAAGTTGAAATCTCAGTAAATAAGAGAACAACCTTAAAATTAAATTGCTAACATGAATTTTAAGGGGATGAGAGAGAAAAGAAAGGAGAAATAAATAAAAGATTGTTGGCGACAAACAATCCTAACATCAATATTATGCATTGCCCTAATAAAAATAAGATATTGTAAAAGTCCGAACACTTTGATGGAAGGAAATTTTTTATTGCCAGGAGACACTGCACAAGCCATCAAAAGATGGAGAGCACCTTTTACATGCTGGCACATTTGTTGCATGCGCTAATTATTTTTGTAATTTTTAATTATAATTTGTATTTATTAAAATACCAAATTACCCTTACAAACTTGATTATAACTAAAAAAACTAGATTGAAAAATATGAAAAGCCTCTTAATAGTGAATACTAGTTTATTTTTATTTTTATTTTTATGCTTTAGAAATGTGAAAATACTAAGTTATTTTTACTTGATATTTTTCTTTATCATATTGTATTAAAAAAATTTAAATATTCTATAAATATATTTATATGATATAAATATATATTCTAGATTAATTAAGTTGTGGCCGTTTCAGATTAAATTTAACAATATTCATGCTATTTCTAGATCTATCATTACCAGAATTAATTATCTATTAAGTCAGTATCATTATATTTGGATTAATTTGTCATTCTTAATTTTTAGTTCTCATTTGTCATTACAATTAAATGCATTCTGGCTTGAAAATTTCCTGAGAGGTTGATATCTATAAACAACATAAATGAATTCTATAGTTAAGTAAAGTTAAATATTTTTATAAATCTGTAAATCACATTATAAAAAAAGTGTGAATTTCTTCAAAATTGAATTCCACTAACCCCCTCAGACCCCCCCCCTCGTACATCACATGTTTCGAATGCATTTTTCAAGGATGAGATGAAGTTGAGTCAATGATATACTTTTACAAACTCAAATAAAATAAACTCAAAATTTTATAATTTAAATTATAAACCTGACTAAGATAAATAAATTGATTTTATTTAAATTAAATAATAAAAAAATTAATAATAAAAACTAATAAAACGAAAAAATTATTCATGATTGCTTGGAAAAAATATCTTTTTTTCAAAAAAAATAATGTAGTTCAATTCTCAGTCAATTAAATACAGAAGAGCAAAATTAAATAAAATAATAAATTAACAAAAAACAAACAAGAAAAAAATTATAAAGTCTAATTCTTATCAAACTAAATGTCGAATGATGAAATAAAAAAATATAAAAACTTGTAGAAAAATCAAAACTAGATAAGATGACCAAACCTTGCAACCCAAATTATACTAATGGGATAACCTAGTAAAAGTCAAAACAATAAAAATGAGGAAGATTAATTTAAAAAAAACTAAATTTTAAAGGATAAAACAGAAAAAATATTAAAATTTTAAAAAAAACTAAGCCTATAAAAAAAATTGAGTCAACTTGGGCTAGTTTTCCAAACGTGTAGTCAATCATCAGATCAGGATAACACAATATATATATATATATATAAAAAATGAAGAAATTCGTAACAAAATTTAAAAAATAATTTTAAATGTTGAAATTGAAAAGAAATAAACAAAAAAAATAGCGTTGATTTTTTAACTTCCAAATCATTATACCGGAAGCACCTTATTTAAACAAATTATAAAATCCAATTCTCAATCAATCAAATATTGAAAGATAAAATTGAAAAACAAAATCTATTATACAAAATGATTCAAAATAAAAAATAGTAACTAAAAGAATAAAGATCAAAATTAAAATATAAATAAATAACAAAAAAATTGATTAACGGGTGAAATTGAAAAGAAAAATCAATTTAACAAAAGAAAAAAAAGACCAAATTGAAAAAAATAACATATCATAAATTGAGATTAAGGGATGAAATTTAAAATAAATTAAGATTTTACAAAAGAATCAAGAACAAAAATTAAAAATTAAAAAAAAAATCAAAGTTGAAATCTCAATAAATAAAAGAACAACTTTAAAATTAAATTGCTAACATGGGGATAAAAGAAAAAAGAGAAAAATAAAATAAAACATTATCGGTGATAAACAATCCTAACATCAACATCATGCATTGCTCCAATAAAAAAAAAATTTTATAAAAGTTCGAACACTTTGATGAAAGGAAATTTTTTATTGCTATCAAAAGATCAAGAGCACCTCCTGCATGCTATTTGTATGTTGCACATACTAACTAAGTTTATAATTTTTAATTATAGTTTATATTTATTAATATACCAAATTACCCCTCATCAACTTGATTATAAATTAAAAAACTAGATTGAAAAATATGAAAAGCCTCTTAACAATGAATACTAGTTTATTTTTGTTTTTGTTTTTGTTTTTGTGCTTTAAAAATGTGAAAATACTAAGTTATTTTTACTTGATATTTTCCTCTATCATATTGTATTTAAAAAATTTAAATATTCTATATATATATATATATATTCTAGATTAATTAAGTTGTGGCCATTTCAGATTAAATTTAACAATATTCATGCTATTTCTAGATCTATCATTACCAGAATTAATTATCTATTCAGTCAGTATCATTATATTTGGATTAATTTGTCATTCTTAATTTTTAGTTCTCATTTCTCATTACAATTAAATGCAGTCTGGCTTGAAATTTTTCTTAGAGGTTGATATCTATAAACAACATAAATGAATTATATAGTTAATTAAAGTTAAATATTTTTACAAATTTGCAAATGACATTATAAAAAAAGTGTGAATTTCTTCAAAATTAAATTCCACTAACACCCTCCAACACCCCCCCCCTCCTTCTCTTTCTCATACATCATATGTTTCGAATGCATTTTTCAAGGATGAGATGAAGTTGAGTCAATGATATATTTTCACAAACTTAAATAAAATAAATTCCATGATTTTAAAACTTATTTAAACTATAAGAATTCAATTCACTCTACTTATTTATAGTTGAAATAAATTATAGTATAAAATTGATAATTCCAAATAAGTTGTTAAAAGCTGTAAATTTATAGAGTTGAAAAATAACGAAAAAATATTAATAAATTATTAATAAATGTTTTCTTAATACAAAAATACTTTTGAAAAAACATCCACACACAGAAGCAGAAATTATATCAAACACCTCCGAAATTAATCAATCCAAAGAAAGAGGGATTGTCTTTTCCTCTGCATGAACCGCCCTAAGCAATTGAGTTTTATTTCCTTCCTTTCTCCCACATAAGTTTTGATTTATTTCTAACCATCAAAAAAGGAACCAGCTGGGAGATAAAAAAAACATTTATTTATATATCAGAGTTAATATATAATTAGTAAGTGTCCGTTTCTGGCCATATTACCAAACAATGCTAAATTTAACTAAAGCGCATGAATGTTAAATTGTTAGTTTCAGAGTGATGCAACGCGCGCGCACCAGTCCATGATCAGTTTGAACTTTGAAGCTGTTCTTCTGTGCAAAAACCCAATATCATCAACCTCAAGAATCTCCAGTTTTCAACAA